ACCACTTGAGCCACAGTGCCACTTCCGGCTCTTTTTTTTTGCTTATGTGGTGCTGAGAAATCGAACCCAGGGCCTCATGCATGCAAGGCAAGTGCTCTACCACTGAGCCATCTTCCCAGCCCTCAAGTGGTAGAGTTCTAACCTTGAACACAAAGAGGCTTAGGGACAGTGCCCAGGCCCTGAGTTTAAGCCCCAGGACTGGCAAAAAAAAAAAAAAAAAAAATATATATATATATGTTTGTCTGTTTGGTTTTTTGTTGGTTGTGGGGCCTGGCTTTTTCTGTGTATGTGGTACTGAGGAATCGAACCCAGAGCTTCATGCATGCTAGGCAAGCACTCTACTGCTAAGCCACATTCCCAACCCAATAATAGCTATAATAATTTAATTATACTGGCTTATTCTATATATATTTCATTTTTGGGAGTTGAACTTAAGAGCTTTGAGCAGATGCTCTGCATGAGCCATACCCCTAGTCTATTCCTGCATTTTTTTTTTTTTTACTTACTTATTTTTGAACTTAAGGCTCCAAACTCTCACTTGGCCTTTTGGCTCACTTCAGCCACAGCCCACTTTCAGCTTTTGCTGCTTAATTGGAAATAAGTCTCATGAACTTCTTTGCCTGGGTTGGTTTGGAACCTTGATCCTTAGATATCAGCTAGGATTACAAGTGTAAGCAATCAATGCTTGGCTTCTTTTCTGCTTTTAATTTTTTTCAGAAAAAGTCTCACCTTTTCCTCTGACTCGTCTTGTACTGCAACCCTCCTATTTTCATCTGTAATTACAGATGAAATTCATCTGAAATTACACCACCATGCCTGGCCCTTATTAAATCTCTTTACTTGTCTTCATATTACAAGAATGTTAATTTTGCATGCACACACACAAATATGTAATACATATTACCTAATTTACAATATTGCCTGTAATATTTTGTCACATCCACCACAAATGGCTCTTATATCCACAGTAAGGATGAGGAAACCAAGTAATTTAATTAACTAGTTAGAACCCAACAGGGCTGAGATTTCCTTTTCTGACTCCTAATCTTGTGTTTTTCACCACCTTGCTAAACTTTTTTCTTTTTCTTTGTTGTTGATGTTGGTCGTGGGGGCTGAACTCTGGGCCAGAGCACTGTCCTGAGCTCTTCAGCTCAAGGCTAGTGCTCTACCACTTGAACCATAGCGCCACTTCCGGCTTTTTCTGTGTATGTGGTACTGAGGAATCGAACCCAGAGCTTCATGCATGCTAGGCAAGCACTCTACCTCTGAGCCACCTCCCCAGCCCCTAAACTTTTTTCTTTTGCAATGCTGGGCATTGGACCTAAGGTATCATTCATACTGGGCAATTTCTCAGAGACCACAGAGCTTTAGCCTCAGTCCATTTAAAATTGGGGCTTGCGGGGGCTGGGGGGGTGTTGGTACTCTCCTTAGGATACAAATAATAGTTTCTCCCAAGAACAAAACATCTGTGCTCTGTTACTCACAAATACTTTGTACTAAGCAAAATAAACTGCTCTGATTGAACAGCCTCTAGACCCTCAAACCCTCGATGAAAAACCTCAGTGATAGCAAGGCACCAGTGGTTCATGGATATAATCCTAGCTACTCAGGAGGCTGAGAAATATGAGGATCATAGCTTGAAGCCAATCTGGGCAGGAAAGGCCAGTGGACACTTATCTCCAACTAACAAAAAGGTGGAGTGGAGTTGTGGCTCAAGGGATAGTGACAGCACTGAACAAAAAAGCTAAGGGACAGTTCCAAGGCCCTGAGTTCAAACCCTACTATGGATGGTTGGAGACACACATGAACCTCAGAGATATAGCTGTAGGGAACCATCCTACCCCAATCTGCAAGGGCTCTTAAGCCACACCTAGATCTCCTGAGCAAGGTTAAGCCCAGCAATTCCAAAGCTGTTTGAAGCCTGGATGAAGGGAGATTCTTACTAGACTCTTAGTAGAAAAAGATTCCTGCTGGCACCAGTGGCTCAGTAACTTCACCTACTCAGGAGGCTGAGATCAAGGACCATTAAGGTGCAAAGCCACTCCAGGCAGAAAAGCCAGCAAAATAAATGCCAGACTGGAAGTGTAGCTCAAGTGGTAGAGCACGAGCCAAGAAAAGCCAGGCATTGGTGGCTCACACATGTAATTCTACTCAGGAGGTGGAGATCTGAGGATAGTGGTTCAAAGACAGTCCAGTCAGGAAAGTCCCCAAGACTCTTTTTTCTTCCCCACCCCTTTGTGAGATTATTTCCAATTAACCACCAGAAAACCAGAAGTGGTGGTGTGGCTCAAAGTGGTAGAGTGCGGGGCTGGGAAGGTGGCTCAGTGGTAGAGTGCTTGCCTTGCATGCATAGGCCCTGGGTTCGATTCCTCAGCACCACATAAGCAAAAAGATAAAGCCGGAAGTGGCGCTGTGGCTCAAGTGGTAGAGCGCTAGCCTTGAGCTGAAGAGCTGAGGGACAGCGCCCAGGCCAGAGTTCAGGCCCCATGACCAGACCAAAAAAAAGTGGTAGAGTGCCAGCCTTGAGCAGAAGAGCTCAGGGACAGTGCCCAAGACCTGACTTGAAGCCCGATGACCAACAACAGTAACAAACAAAAAAAAGCCGGGCACTGGTGACTTATGCCTGTAACCCTAGCTACCCAGGAGGCTGAGATCTGAGGATCTCGGTTCAAAGCCAGCCTGGGCAGGAAAGTCTGTGAGACCCTATCTCCAATAAACCACTAGAAAACTGGAAGTGGCACCGTGGCTCAAGTGGTAGAGTGCTTGCCTTGAGCTGAAGAGCGCAGGGACAGCGCCCAAGCCCAGAATTCAAGCCCCACAACTGACCAAAAAAAAAAAAAAGAGGTCCTGAGTTCTCCAATACTGGCACATGTACACACATAGATTCCTGGCAATTCACAGGAAGGAAAAAGCAACCACCTTCCCTGGGGGCTGTTCCTTGATTACCTTCAGAACTAGTGACCAAGCAAGGGTTGCCAGTGTGATATCCCAGAGGGTGATGTTTGCATAACTGCATTACCAGTTAGTTAATCCAATATTCCCTTGGTGATAAGGACACACTGACTGCCAGTTCAACCTCAGTCCATTCCAGGCCCTGAGATTCCTTAACTGTTTCAGGCTCTATCACTGGTTTGCTATCCGCACCTTGAAGGAGTTACACAAACTGAAGAGACTAGCAGATTATGGCAGACTATTTCTCCACTGAATGATTTTTATCACCCAGCTAACTCGGGGACATTTGTTAATATCTGAAAGTTATTAATTGGTTATTACACCTGGGAAGGAAGATGGTTGGATACTACTGGCATCTGGTGGGTAGCAGTTAACATATAATAGACAGAAGACCCCTTTCCCCAACAATGAACTATCTGGTTCCAAATATAGCAAGGGTGAGAAATCTTTTGGTAGAAAGACTGAGTCTGTTGAATAAATCAGATAGATTAGGGTTGGAATTGCTGGGTGCTATATGACCTTGGGCAAGTCACTGGACTTGTATAAACATTAGATGTTTCTGTCAGGTACTGGTGGCTCACCCTAGTTACTCAATCCTAGTTACTCAGGAGGCTGAGACCTGAGGATCAGGTTTCAAAGCCAACCTGAGTAAGAAGGTCCATAGACTCACCTTTCATTAACCAGCAAAAAGCTGGAAGGGAAGCTGTGGCTCAATTGGTTAAGAATGCTAGCCTGAATGAAGAAAGCTAATCAAAAGTTCAAGGCCCCAACTTCAAACCCAAGTACTGGCAAAAGAAAAGAAAGGAAAAGAAAAGGCTTGCTACTGGTGGCTCACACCTCTAATCCTAGTTACTCAGGATGATGACATCAGAGGATTGAGGTTCAAAACCAGCCAGTGCAGCAAAGTCTGTGAGACTTATATCCAATTAACTACCAAAAAGCCAGAAGCAGAGCTGTAGGTTTATGTGTAGCTTTATTTTAGAGCACTAGCCTTGAGCAAACAAAACAAAAAACTCAGGGACAGCACCCAGGTTCTGAGTTCAAGCCCTAGTATCAGCACCAAACAAAAGGATGAGAATCTTCAATTCTGCCTCTTACTTGCTATCTATGTTGGACAAGTTATTTTGCTCCCGTGTGTGTGTGTGTGTGTGTGTGTGTGTGTGTGTGTGTGAGTCCTGGGGCTCGAACTTGGCCTGGGTGCTGTCCCTGAGTTTTTGTGTTCAAAGCTAGCCCTACTACTTGAGCCACAGCTCCATTTCTAGCTTCTTGGTATTTAATCGGGAATAAGAGTCTCATGGACTGTCCTGCCTAGGCTGATTTCAAATTGATACTCAGATCTCAACCTTGATTTCAAATTGATACTCAGATCTCAACCTTCTAAGTAGTTAGGATTACAGTTGCTTGGCTTACTTTGCATTCTTTTTTTTTTGTCGGTTGTGAGTCTTAAACTCTGGGCCTGGGCACTGTCCTTGTGCTCTTCAGCTCAAGGTAAGTGCTCTACTGCTTGAGCCACAGCATCACTTCTGGTTTATCTAGTGGACTTTCCTGCCTGGGCTGGCTTTCAACTGTGATTCTCAGATCTCAGCCTCCTGAGTAGATAGGATTACAGGCGTGAGCCACCAGTGCCTGGATTACTTTGCATTCTTAAGCATGGGCCTCATATATAAAAACAGATGTAATAATTGCAAGTACAATGCATAGGGCTGTTGCAAAACACTTGGTGCAAATTAATACCCTCAGAAACTTGTCCCAAGATAGGGATTAAGTACCAATCAGCACTATTCAGAGAAATCCACACATTACTCCAGGGAGAGGAGACCTCCACAGTCCCAGCTGTAGCAGTTTTGCTTTTCTGCTGTTCTGCTACCTCATTATCTTCTTGCTCTGGCTTAACTTCCCTTATCTAGCCTTCCTGCAGTGGCTCCCCCCTCCAGGTAGCCAGACGGGAGTTCCAGACCAGTTCCAGATGAGGGACTTCCTCATCACCAACAGCTGTCCCTCTTTGCACCAACACCCTCCCAAGTTCAAAGGACAGAGGCACAAGCATATGGGTTTAGAGAAACGTCATATTTAATGGTAAAGCTTAGCACACTCCAGCACCTGGAATGGCATGGAGTCAAGCAGTGGGGACGGCTGGGTGACCCCCACGGAGCCTCACATGGCGAAGAGGATGAGGAAGGCGACCATCAAACAGAAGAGCCCCATGGCCTCAGACAGGGCAAAGCCCAGAATGGCATAGGAGAAGAGCTGTTGCTTGAGAGACGGATTCCTGCCAAGGACAGAGATTGATGACAGCACAGGGAAAGGAAAAGGGTAAGGGAGGGGTGGGTGACACAGGGTGAGGGATGGGATGCTGGTATAACCAGGAGAGGACCTAGCCTGCCCGTACACTGGAGATTTGCATGGGCAAGCAGAGTAGCAACTTGGCAAGCTAAGTGAGCTATGTTGGACACCTATTTAAATTTTGGTTTAGAGGTTACTGGAGCAAACAGGAGGTACAGAAGCTCCAGAAGGAGTTCCTGCTGCTGAAGCTTTGCCCAAACGATGTTAACTTACAGTAGAAGATGCTCTAGGCTGCCCCAACCTTACCTGGCATAGCCAATGATCAAGCTGCCGAACACCGTTCCAATGCCAGCCCCTGATCCAGCCACACCAACTGTGGCAGCCCCAGCACCAATAAACTTGGCTGCTGTGTCAATGTCGCGGGAGACAACACTGGTCTGGAACTCCCGTCTGGCCACCTGGAGGGGGGAGCCACTGCAGGAAGGCTAGATAAGGGAAGTTAAGCCAGAGCAAGAAGATAATGAGGTAGCAGAACAGGTGGCTGACTCCATCCCTCCCACTTCCCTGTGAACCCTAAAACCTTTGGCATATTGCCTGACAAGAACAGAATACTCTGAATGTAGGGAGGATGTCAGTACTGGGGTCTGTTCTCAGACAGGACCAGGGAAATAGTATGAGGTAGGCAAATGCACTTTTTCAAATTTCTCATCCACAGTGATTGCCTTTGAAGACTTAGATTTACAAGGTCATCACCGATCCTCTATTTTTCTCTTAATAAGGCCTTAAGGCAATTTGGTTTAGAGATTCCCTGCCTGCAAAGATGCCTAAGAGGGTCCCTACTTCCTTACCTGTTTAGATGGAGCCTCTGGCTTACTCAGGAGGGAGGCAGACACAGGCCTGATTAGACCCCTGGTACAACAGCGCATCTGCAAAGTCAGAAAGGCATATCTCTCCAGGTTAAGCAAGGAAAAAAAGAAAAAGAAGACCACCAAATATCTAACTGATGAGCTTCTTGTAAAAATAAAACAAAACATAAACAACAACAAAAAACAACCACAGCACTGAAAAAAGTACAATGTATTTCAATGTATGTTTGCTTCTACCCAATGGGCAGGCCTACAGAGACAGCTGTATTGAAAGTCTGGTGCAGTCACCAATGGCAATCCATTACCATTCAAAGCACTGGGGAGGGGCACAGTGGTAGTAGTGTATATTCTTGGGTTCAGTCACCAACGAAACAAAAACAAGTATTCAAATTCACTTCCATGGGCACAGCCTTCATCAATTTCTCAGAATGGAACAAAATCCACATTAAGAGCAGATGGGGGTACAAGAAAGGTTTGTACCCAAACCACCATAGTAATGAAGAAAGGGGAAGGTATATACTAAAATGTACACGCTGCTAGACATCTTTCTTGCAGTGGGCCAGTAGGCTTGGTGAAGTTCCTGGAACAGCCACCTACAGAGAGCCTTCTGTAACATACATTCTTTCTTAAGAGTCTTTCTATGTAGCCCAGGTTGGCCTGGAACTCCAGATCTTCCTGCCTTAGCCTCCTAAGTGCCACCTGCCTCACTTGTGACATGGCTTTCTTGAAATATTCTCTAGGGCAAAGTGCAGTGGTTTTCAAACTCGGCTGAACTGTGGAATCACTGGGGAGTTTTAAAAAAGGTCTAGGGTTCCATCTTCATTCCCATAGTCTCCTGTAACTGGTCTGATTGGTATTAGGAAATTTAACAGCTCCTCAGGTGATTCTAATATGCAGCCAAGGTTGAGACTATTTTCATGGGCTGTTGAAGCTAGACTGAGGGTAAAGGTCAGATCTAGCCTCTCTGAGGACATTTCAAAGCCAAGAGAATTTGGATTACAGGTCCAACTCAACAGCAATTACCTGCATCCCAATCTCCTCAAAGAGCCAACATCCTGACAGCAAACCCCACTCACTCCATTCATTACACACACAGAGATGCCTCCCACACCATACATGGCACTACACCGTACATGGCACCATTGGATACACCAGCCTTAGCTTACCAGAACTGGAGAAATAAGCAATGCCCCGGTGGTCTGCATTTTTTCAGTCTGCAGAAACCAAAAACAGAGAAACTATAAATCCTTTGAGAGCACGGCTACTTGCTTATGGTGACGACCTTCTGTCGTCCCCTGCACCGTCCCCATTCCCCCCACCCCACCCCGATTGTCCCTGGACCCTCTCTTCTTGCATCGCACCCCAGCCGGAGGAAGGCATTAGAGGTCAGAAGGACAGCGCGGACTCCAGGGTCAACCACCTTCTGCGCTGCGGGTATGCAGCGTGGAAAAAAAAAAAAAAAAACAACACCGAAATCGGAAGTAACAGAGGCTCAGGCCCCAAGAGAGAGACGTTGCGAAAGGAGACCGTCTCCCGGGATGAAGTGGCAGAAGCCGCAGGTGCCGTGCAGGATCCTGCCCAGATTACACATCTGCCCTGTACTAGCCCCGGGAGTGGCCGTTTATCGCTCATTACCGTTGGTCATTAACATTAATTGGTGAGACTAAAACCTTCCATCGTTTCTTCCATTCTTGAGGGCAGATGAGTCTCCTCTACGCCCCATCCACTACCCAGCCGCCCGCAGGTTCCCGGCCCCGAATCACCTGCACACCCTCTCCCCCGCAGACCCTGCCCGGCACACGGCGCTCGCCCCTCTCAAGGTGACTGACTCACCTCGCAGCTTTAGCCCTTGCTCTCAGCGCACGGCTCCCCCACCCACGTGTCCTGGGGTTCCTCTACTCTCATTGGCTGCAACCCTCCCGCGTCCCCATTGGTTTGCGTCATCAAGTCGCCCTTTTCTATTGGGTTTCCGCAGTTTCTTCCTCTCTCCTCCCACAGCAACTTCGTGGCAATTCCCGCCTCCCTGCGGAAAAAGGCGGGGTTTTCCTCGGAGAGCTGAGTTACGATTGGTTGATCCCTGAAATTCTCGACCATAGAGTCGGTGGGTAGGGAACTCAGAGGTTCCATAACCTCCCGCACAAAATGGCGGCCAAGGTGGCAAGCTGAAGAAAAGGCGTGAGAGGGATGACCCGACACCTGACGCAAGCCGACACATGACTTTGGCTCCGCGAATTCATTCGGGCGCGCGCGCGGCCTCGGAGCACATTGCATGTTGGGGTTTGTAGTCGAGTCTCAGACACAGTCACTCCCTTCCTCGCCCCCCCCCTTCCAGGACAAATGAGATACCGCGAGATGTTGCTTCTTGGGGTAAGGAGGGCAGTAGCCTTGGTTGCAGTTCCCACCCTAGTGATTTGTGGGAACCTTCCGCCATGGAAAATTCGGCCCGGTTGCTAAGCTCCTAAAAGATCGGCCCGCTTTGTGGGCCTTGGTGGGTGTTCAAGTCATGAACTAGTGACCAATATATTTTTTAGAAATCATAATTAGGGTTATATTTATAATTTGAAATTATATTCTAAGGATAAAGCAATGGGCTTTGTGTGTAAAGAATTCGCGTGTAGTTGCTTGTGCACACCTGTAATCTCAGCACTGAGGAGGGTGAAGCCTGAAGATGGTGAGTTCCAGGCCAGGGTGGCTACACACTGAGACCCTGTTAAGAGAAGGAGAGAAAGATGAGCCTAAAGGATAAGAACCGAGAAATAAGAACTGCAGGAATGTGCAATTTTACTAATCTAAGAAATACCTTAATCGCACTACTTTTATTAAAAGCACAAAATTATTTTTTATTGTGTTAGGTTTTTTAAAAAGAGGTTGCAGAGTAAGAATCACACCACGCACGTGGTATTCAGGTAAGGGGTAGGCTTATTCATGGTTCTGGCTGGCACCAGGCCATCTTGGCCCTCCAAGCGGCTGGGAAAGGCCTGGGAAAGAGGGCGTCTGGGCCTGGGCTAAGCCTTATCTAGGGTATGGATGGAGAAAGGTGTGACCTCTTCCAGGTGTGCCAGTTGCTTAGATAACTCAGGTACTGGGCGGAGCCTTTGCTGCTGCGGGGAGAGTGAGTCTGCTCGCCTTCTAGGAGCGGATCTTACAATAAGCATGGAGCTCTCCTACACTGCTAGTGAGAGTATGAATTAGGAAACTTTCCTTGAGAGCAATTTGGCAATACTTATTTTTATTCGAGAGCCTTTGAATGGACCATCCTCTTTGACCCACAATTCTTGAGTAATTGAGAACCTTTGGCCACTGCATTCTCTTTGACCCAGAAATCACTTCTAGAAATACATCCTAAAGAAATAATCAGAAATGGAACCTTGCTCATGTAATTGTAACCCCTCTGTACGGTATTTTCACAATAATAATAATAAAAAAGAAATGGAAGGATTCAGCCAGGCACTCAATACCTCATGCCCATGAATCCTGGCTACTTAGGAAGCTGAGACCTGGAGGAGAGGTTCAAAGCCAATTCTAGGGAGTCTAGACTCTCCAAATTTATCAGCAAGGGGCTGGATGTAGCTTAGTGGCAAAGTGCTTGTCAAGCAAGTGCAATGCTCTAGGTTTGATTCCTAATATGAAAACAAAACCCTCTCAAAAAAAGAACAAAAAGCCAAGCTGGAGATGTGGTTCAAGTAGTAGAGCATCATCCATAAGCAAGAAAGCCAAGCAAGTGATAGTCCTAGCATACACATAAGCAAAAATTCTGCTGGAAGGATGTGCATTGCAAAGCCAGGTGATGGCTTATGCCTCTAACCCTAGCTACTCAGGAGGCTGAGATCTGAGGACTGTGGTTCAAAGCCCCCCATGGCATGAAAGTCCATGATACTCATCTCCAATTAACCATCAGAAAATGAGAAGTGGAGCTGTGGCTCAATGTGATAGAGCACTAGCCTTAAGCAAAAAAGGTCAGTTATAGCACCCAAGCCTGAGTTCAAGCCCCCTGACAATAAATAAGTAAATAGGATGTGCATTGCACATGAAAACAAGAAAATAAATGTCCCTTACATGGTAAATAGTTAAAAATTATATCTTCACTTAAAATGTTATAAAACAAAAAATGAAAAAAAAGTTTTGTTTTGGTTGGCACAGGGGCTTGAACCTAGGACTCAGGTTCTTACCTGGCTTTTTTTGCTCAAAGTTGAGCTATACCTCAACTTCTGGCCTTTTGCTGGCCTATTGGAAACAGGATTCTATCATGGACTGAAGATGTGAAGGAAGCAGCCTTTCTCTTTCTCTCTCTCTTTAAAAAAAAAAAAATATATATATATATATTTTTTTTTTTTTTTTTTTGGTCAGCCTGAACTCTGGGCCTGGGCACTATTCCACAGCTCTTCAGCTCAAGGCTAGAGCTCTACCACTTGAGCCACAGTGCTACTTTGGCTTTTTTGCTTATGTGGTGTTGAGGAATCAAACCCAGGGCCTCATGCATGTAAGGCAAGCACTCTACCACTGAGCCACCTTCCAGCCCAGCCTTTTTCTCTTTACCAGTTGATCTAAGTGGGGAAGAGTTACCTAAAGCTTACTAACACACTTTGATAGTAATTGACAGATTAAACAGAAACAGAAGACTTACTTACTTTGGTGGTTGTAGGACTTGAACTCAGGGCCTGGTTGCTGTCTCTGAACTCTTTTGCTCAGGGCTAGTGCGCTACCACTTTAAGCTCCACTTCCAGTTTTTGTTTTTTTTTTTAATAAATACAACTCAGGGTTTATTAAAAATCAGAGCTTCCCTGCTGTGACCTCCTAGCACTAAAGAAATAAATAACCAGGGGCTGGGAAGGTGGCTCAGTGGTAGAGCGCTTGCCTTGCATGCATGAGGCCCTGGGTTCGATTCCTCAGCACCACATAAGCAAAAAGAAAAAGCTGGAAGTGGCGCTGTGGCTCAAGTGGTAGAGCGCTAGCCTTGAGCTGAAGAGCTGAGGGACAGCGCCCAGGCCCAGAGTTCAGGCCCCATGACCGGACCCAAAAAAAAAAAAAAGAAAGAAAGAAAGAAATAACCAGAAGGACCACAGCTGGAGAAAGGGGAAGAAAAATTAATCTCAAGGCAGATTCTTTTAACTACCCCTCCATTTCCCAACTCCCCCTATGGCTCTTGGGACATAGCACCTGAGCAGGCGCCTCAGTCCAAGTAGAATGTGCCTGGCACCAAGGCATGTCTGCCCTGCCCAGGATGGGAGACAGGCCCTGGGGATCACTCGTTTTCAGCCCTTGATGATCCCCAGACCTGCTCCCTCCAGGGATCAGGGATGAAGCACCAATTGGAGGCACCTGAGGGTGGTGGTAGGGGAAGAACAGGGTAACAGAACCTAGGCAGAAGTAGCAGAAAGGGGGGCCAGCCCCCTCTCCAGTTTCGGCCAGTGCCTGACTGAGGTCATGTCCTATCCCTTACACCCCTTGAGCTCCCCAGCTCTGCACTCAGCTGAGGATCTTCCGGAGCAGTTCAACAGAGGCACGGATGAAGACAGCATCATCTCCCACATAGTTTCGCTTTCAGATGTCTTGATGGGAGATGAACTTGGGGTATCCAAAACCCAGAGAACTCTCATCCAGGGAGCCTCTCCAAGTGCCAGGTTTTTGGAAATTCTTCCAGTTTGGGTCAGGGTGGAAGGTTTCAGTGACATGCTGTGGCTTGGCCAGCCCAGGGTCGCTCTGACCCAGCAGGGAGAAAGGCCACTCAAGGAGATTGTCAAAGGCACCTGGCGGTACACGAATGTACAGCGAGAGATGTGTGCCCTCGCCACTGCCGTTGCCATTGAGGAATGCAGACACCTGCAGCTTGTAACCATACTTATGTGTGTAGAAAGCTGGGCTGACGCACTCAAGGTTGGGCTTGGCCTTGGCCTCCTGTAGTCGCCGCCCATAGCTGCCAATCTTCCAGATGAGCACACCATCACTGCCTACTGACAGCCCCTCCAGCTCTCTGCGAAGGTCCTGCAGCTCCTGCCGCTGCCGGCTTACCAGAGCACACATCATAGCCAGATGAGGCTTCACACTCTCCTCCATGTGTCGTGCCATTGCCAGCTTAGGGCACTGTTGGTAAAGCCCCAGGCCATGGGGGGAATGGAGAGTTACCACAAGGGGAAGGTCCAAGGGAGAGAAGATGGAGAGGAAGAGTAGACATTTAACTCTGCATGAGGAAGACAGGGTGCTAGAAACAAGTGGAAACTAACTGACCAGCAGGGGAAAAATGAGGGTTCCAAAGCAGAGCCCACCAAGGCCTCACTGTGCCAGGAAACCTAGCCTGTCCAAGACTTGAAGGGCTAAAGAGGAGCTGACAGGAAGGAGGAGGACTCTTACCCTGTGTTTACAGCCAGAATCTTTGAATGGGCAGTGCTGCAGCTGTCTTCCAAATGGCCTGCCAGGTCCTCCCGAGCCATGGTGCCCACACCACACTGGTTGGGGCAGGACACAGGCAGTTGTGGGCACTGGTACTGGTGACCCCTTGCTGCAGTAGGCACAAGGCTGGGTGCGCTTGGGGCACTCAGAGGTGGCACGCTGGGCCAGCAGACGCCGCATCATGCGGGCACCACACTTGTTCTCACAGTACATGCTCTCTTGGGGGCACATGCCCTCGTGGCTCTAATAGGCCTCCCCACTGAAGTCACAGCCACAGAACTCGCATTTGAGGTGCCACTTGGGGCGACTGCAAGTGTGCAGGCAGATCACGGCGGCTCAGCTTAGAAGGGCAGCGATTGGGGCAGGGCACTACATTGAAATTGCAGGTACTCAGGTGGCCCACTCCAGCGGCAGCCCTCTTCACTGTGGATGCAGCGGTTAGACAGACCTAACACCTGGAC